GTCTTGAAATTGGATCCAATTGGCTCTTCAAACCAGGCTCATCCGTCGTAAGAATTGGTCCTTTCCCTTCCTACTGACTCCCGTTATTGGAATCGAATGGAGCATTTCAGTATGCCTCGGCTGACTGTAACGGGGTAACTGAACCTGGCCACTCACTATTTGCACTGGAATTAGTCGTTGCTCCCAGTATTCGAGGTAACTAAATATTAATAAAAGTCCCCTTTCTTTATATTTTCACAGTATACTCGTGTTACAATACGACAACGATATGGACACATTCCATCCGATTTACTGGAGAGTCTTGAGGACCTCGATTTATCCCCTCCATTTTTCCTGGACTTTGGATCTGTTGATCTCGATTATTGAAATTGAATGGAGCATTACATTGCTGATACGTATGCCCTGACTGCTTGCAATTTCCACAAATTGGTACATAATCGTCACTAGCTCTTGGATTGGGACATTCATTAGCATAATGACCAATCTGTCTACAATGGAAACAACGCAATGGCCTTTTTGCACCTCCATCAGGCATATTGGGTGTCTCCACTGGTATATACCTACTAGGTTTGTTCCATGTAGGTTGAGAAAACGATCGTGGTTGTCCCGGTTGTACTTGGTTCAATGGCATCGATGGAGCATATGGCTGATACCCATGCTGCTCCTTACCATAGTTCTGAGGATTTGATACAAACCCCTGATTATAAGTGGAATTCTGAAAATGATTGACTGCTTGATTTTGTCGGTTAGATCGATTTCTATGCCATCCAAACGTATTTCCTATTTGAACTTGATTGACATCCCATGGAGTTGGTGGAATCATGGTCGGATTATTGAATTGTTGTTGTCTTTGCAAATTCCAACAATTAGCGGTTAAGTACTTGCCTCCACAAAATGTACATTTACCTAACACTTGTGAAGGTGACGGGCATTCCGTTACCAAATGATCGTCGCCCTGACAATTATTGCACCATACATTGGTCCTAGTATTGGTTGGCTTTTGCCTCTTCTCCTTATCTTTGGCCATATTAACGGCCATTTCTTCCATTTTCTTTGTCAAGTTCAAGAACAAGGCTTCATTGAAATCTTTTGAAGCTGGTATTATATGTTTTTTTGCCAAAGTTGACTCTTGTTTTTGATATGGAAAATATGGAGCATACGCTATTATAACTTGCGGTGGTAAAGCTTGCAATGGGGTAACATTAACTGGCCCCTGAGTATTGGCACTTGAATGGGCCACTGTTTTGATCATCTGTGGATAACTACCCATTGATCCGTTCAAAGCCGGATATTGATAATTGCTTTGAATTAGTATCATCGTGGCACTCGTAGTTAAAAACTGATCATAATGGCATTCCTCCCAAACCTTGGCTCTATCAAGGGATGCAAATATCGTAACTGGTTGAGCTTCTTTTACAAACATTTTTACCTCTGGTGGGTGCAAACCATTTATTAATATAGATAATATAAATGCCTCCGACATTTGGTGGTTCCGCCACTTACTAAGTGTATCAGCCACTCGGCCATAGTACGATTCCATCGCCTCTCCTAGGATCATTTTGCTGTTCATTAACCTTCCTCGAAGACGGTCTTCAAAACCAGTTGGTCGAAAATGGGTCAAAAATACATTCTTCAATGCTTCCCAGTTCGAAAATTGACCAACTAGTTGACGGTTATACCATTCAAACACCGTATCCTTTAAGGTTGCTGGCAACCATCGTAACCAAATATCCTCGGGTCTCCCATTATTGGCGACACATGCTGTCAAAAATTGCAACAAATGTTGATCTGGATCCGCACCCGGAAAGCCCCTAAAGGTAGGTAATGGAGCCACGCTAGTTGTGCGATCACTCACAGTACCCATTTGTACTGCTATGGGAACCGTTGGACCTCCCATCGTCATTGAATTTGACAATGTGACACTTAATCGTTTGTTAATATAGTCTGCGTCTCTCTCAAATATATTTTCCGAACTTTCCACCCTACTCAATTTATTATTATTATCCTTGAACAAGTTTATTGGTTGAATAGGAGGTGAGAATGACAGATTTTGAAACACACTGAATTGGCCCTTATTGACCAATAATTTATGCCACTCTATGGAACTAGTTTTGACGGAATTGACAATTTTTGCTATTGGAAACGTACCCAATGGAGTACCCAACTCTTCTGTGATTCCCCCAGTCTTAGTTAACGGTCTCAGAAGAAACCCTAGTCTATTGACCAAATTTTCCGCAAGTGCTCTTGGCAATTTCTCTAACGGTATATACTTCTGAAATATTAGATGTCGATTAGCTTCTGGGTATGCTCGAATATGACGACAGGCATGCAACCATGGCTTAATCTAGCTTTGTCTATGATTCCTTTTTAACTTTCTTTGTTGCTCGTTTCGCAACAAATTTCTTGCTTGCGATCTCTCTATTCTTTCTCTTGACTGTCGTATTTTCTTTACTGTTAAGTTTTCATTCTTAATAACCATACTCTTTCATTATATTCTTCTACGACTGCTACCTATTTCCCATCTACTTCAACCGGCAGTTAATACCTAACACTCCATGCTATTATCAATTTCCCCGACAGCGGCGCCAAAATATGATTATCGTTTTACTTACTCTAACTAATCTAATCAGAGTAAACCTGTATAGGGAAATTCGAACACATGGAAAAAATACCGCATGAGCTTATACGTTAGGGTCACACAATTAACTGTATTCCGCACTACTTAAAACAGCGAAGAAACACTACAAGACTTTTTCCTACTAATGAAACCCTTTCATTAACCGATAACCATTAAATGCAATCTGCACTGTCTCAAAAGTCTACACAAAACACATAAATTCCATCCAATACCAGGAATAACCAATCTTACTCAATTAATCTGGCTTTACACAATTTCTGTTTTCCCAGATTTCCTCGGTCCGAACACACACAGTTTTCAATTAACCACGATCATAATCTTCCAGTTATAACCAATCTTCACAGAATCTGATAACAACTTCCAAATTTCTCTCCTTCAATCACTCAATACTTCAGTTACACACCCAATATCTCATAAATCATTTCCCTAATTCATTCCACGAATTCTTTTCACAGTATTGAGAACTTTAAACAACAAAAAAAAATAAAAAAAATAAGAGACATCACCAAGCTTATCCAGGCTCATACTATCACAGTCTGGCCCTTACTTCCTCTCTCACATCCTCCTTATGCTACCACGAGATACCAACTTCTACATCTCTAATGAAAACTGCTTTTCCTAACTATTCATCCATTTTACCTACTGAACTAACTTTTCAACAGTCATCTATCCCTGTTTACACTATAAACTAAGTATCTACAATTCAGCAAATAACTACTTATTCTACAATGTCTTTGACAATAGCCATTCTAATTCAATATATTACCATCTTTGAGTGATTTCCTAGTCTTTTCAAGTCACACAAGAGTGTATTGAGGTTTTCTTTTTTCAAGATTTATGACCTTGATATAGATGGATTTTTGGCCTTTTTTTTGGCAGATTGCAAGCCTTTGCACATTGATAAGTATCTTTGACATTGCTTTGCTTTGTTTGCTAAATAAATATGTTATTTTGTAACTCCATGAAGTTTTGTCTCTAAAAATTTGAAAACATCCTAGAAACCAATTTTTACATTTTTCAAAATACAAAATCTTCTTTTATATTTTTATTATATTAGCCAATCACAATTTGACATCCATTAATCAATTACAATCTATCATTCTATAACTCAATACCTTTTAATATAAGATACATTTTGGCATCTATCAATTATATCAATTAATAAAGGATCAATTATATATATATATATATATATATATATATATATATATATCATTTTGTTTTACAAAATTTATTTTATATATATATATATTTTAAATCTAATAATTAAAAGACATATATTATATCTTCTAAACAAACCTTAAAAAGAATAAAACTACCTCAAACTAATATTATTGCTAAATGTTTTATAATTATTATAAGAAAATTGTAATCTAAATATATTTACTTCATTCTATAACTCTATATTAAAAATTATACGAAAATTATATTAAAATTTATTAAATTTATTTTTTATAAAATAAATAATCTAATGTAAATAACCGAAATATTTTTTAAAAATTAAATGTATCTTTGTTGTTTATCTTTTGATAGAATATGCTATTAAATATTTTTTATTGTAAGTTCTACTTCAAAATTAATAAATTAATGGTAATACTATTATTTTAGTAAAATAAATATTTACATCATAAAATGTAAAATATAATAGATGTTTATAAAACTAAATTTGCTTCAATTTCAAATTTCACTGAATCTACATTAAGTTTATTAAAAAAATAATCAGTTCAAATTTTACTAGATTTTAAAACAAAACCCAAAATCAAGATGTTTGAATATATATATATATATATATATATATGTGTGTCGACACACATATATGCTTATATATATATATATATATATATATATATATGTGTCGATACACATCTATGCTTATATATATTTTTTATTTTTAATCAACCATTATTCTAGTATTTTTGAACATGGTTAAATTTTAATTCAAAAATTATAAAATATGCATTAAACATTAATCACAACATTATGACTACATGCAATAAAAATCCTTGATTTCAAGGTTATGCGCACCAAGTGACCATGCCAAGGATAACATACATTTATGTCCACTATGTCCACAACTTGCCACAAGAGTGTATCCTGCTTTACAATTTCTAATCCTCACTGATGCAAAATTCTCTTTTTATTATGTGTTGGGAACCCTTTCTATCTTTGTAGGGTACCATTGTAAAACCCAAGCTTCCAAAATAGAAATCCATTGCTAGAGCTTTACACATGATGGAACTGTTTGGAATAACAGTGGATCTGAAGAGTTCATACCAGTTGATTGTATCGCCATCATGCAATGACGCCTTTCAAGAGCTATCTACATGTGATTAAACTGCAATACATTCACACCATTATTTCATTGAAACAGTTGTCAGAAGTAAAAACACTTCCGATGAGAAGAATCATATTTTTCAATAAAGGAAAAAGAAGTCAAAGCCGCAGGCAATATGCTTCCAAAACATGAACAAGACCACACCATTCTGTGGAGGTTTTGAGTGGCGCTCAGTACTCCCTTTCAGAGGTATTAGCCAAAGATGATGTGGGTTCTACTCAACGTTACACAGGCGCTGTACGCAGGGATTCTCTAGTGGACTAAGCTAATGAGCCAGAGTACTGACACTATCAAGAGATTTCCAAAATTCCTTTAACGGAGTAATATGTGCCAAAAAACCCAGCCAAAAGTCCCAGGGTTATTATGAGCACAATAATAAACACCTCTCGTCTTAACACCCGCCCTTTGTAGATTCTCAAGTAGCATATGCAAGGTACGTGGACGGATACAGCAACACTTAGAAATGAGCCGATAAAAGCCATGAGCAGGCCAAAAAAGGGCAGTGTGAGAGACACAATTACAGTGCTGGTAACCAGGAGGGTTCTCAATACTGTACTCCACAACATTATTCCCTTTCTTGATGTTGTCAAAGATTGAGGTAGTAACTCCTCCAGCGCAAATGCCAACGGCATCAGAGTAAGGGCGTATTTGGCCAAAGGACTTATTAGTGTTACCCAGATTGCTACGTGCGAAGCTGGCAACTCCCTTGGTAAATTCAGAGTTACTTGAGATTGTACGTCATCGCCAAACATCATGTAACCCATAATGGCTACCCCTCCATACATGAAGGAGGACAGGACGAAACAAATCACCAAAATCTGCACCAATAAACCCACATATCATGAGGTTCACTTCATTTTCGCAAAATCAATTAAAGGAAATAGGCAAACTCAGTTTCAATCTAAAAACGGGTCACCATCGCTCGAACAAAAGTCCTTGGTATAAGATGGTCCTCCCTTTTGTCTTATTTTAACATATCAAAGAGCAAGAGAGATGGAGTTTAGAATTCAAATCACATGTGAGAATTGTTTGCGGTCTTGCATTGAACTGTAGATGCTCGGAAAAACCGAGTGTCCACAATAGCAGAAGGAATAAAGGCCCACTGCCAAGGGCAGTCCATCCAAATGCACAAAAGAGCCTCGATGGTGAAAGCCAACGCCGTCAACAACCCCAACCCAGCCGACTGCCAACACCACCAACAAAGATGCGAAGACACCCCCAGCAGATACATACGACAAGAAACGCAGCTCACGGAACCAGACAGTCGGTAACATGATCAAGGCCGCACACACTGTAAATATCTCTTGAGGTGGAAAAACTCTGCCCCCAATAGTGAGGGTAACGTTTGGAAAGAGCTGAGCCAGGTTGTCGCCTTCCAAGATAAGAAATTCGATAGAGACAGCATAAAGCTCCAGGTATAACATAATCGAAATGATCCATCGTCCCCACTTCCCAAAAGAAGCCTCTCCGATATCAGGAAAGCTTGTAATGTATGGATCAGAATCTAAGCACTGGCGAAGTAGAATTCCAGTATAGCACATAACAACTGCAAACATCAGAAGGAAGCCGAGACCTAACCAGCCTCCGTTAGCAGCAGCATAAGGAGTTGACAGAATACCCACACCTGCACGTGGACCAGTGCAAGGAATCACAATCCAAACATGTCGAGCGAAAAAATAGGGCAACAAAGAAGTTCAGATACAAGTAGTACTACTTTCTTCTAATTCATGTGTCAGTTAAGAAGATACAGTTATACCATCACTGCGTTGAGGTTAGCGGCAACTCCACAAAGCTTTAGGAAGTGGGGTGGTTAACTATTGCCATCAAACCAGTACCCATATTGAAACTCTTCAAATATTACAGACGTTAGTTTCGATATTCGTGATGACATACAGGAGGAGTCTAGGATTACCTGCAAGGATATTCATTCCATTAAATAAAGCCTGAAGAAAAGAAATTCCTTGCACATGATCGTCATCATCATGAAGCCCAAGTTCCTTTTCACTGGTAACATGAGACTTGCTGGAACCTTGGGTCGTTTGGAACCCATCCTCCTCATTGATTAAATATTTCTCAGCATTGTCTAAATCAAAGCGTCCAGGATCTCGAAGCAGTGGCTCCTTCAAATCAACCTTTGCCCTCTCCAATACACCAGCAAAATGGCCACTAGAAGTAGTGTCTAGATCATCATTAGTGCTCTCGACTCGGACGGATCGAGTCAGGCCAAAGCTCCGACGAGAAGTTGATCGAGAGTATAGCTCCATGGATCGTCCATAACTCTGTGGCCAATAAGAAGCATTGAAGGAAGAGGATGGGGATCTTCCAAGGGCAGCGCCAGGATTGATGGCCTGGGGAGTTGATTGCAAGCGACTGTGGACGACCTCCTCGTCGTCCACATTATCATTATAAAATTCCTGGCCCATGGAGCCAAAAATTCTGAAAAGGAAACGAGACAATCAGATCGTGTCACATACTATCTTTCAGCAGTTTTAGCATCAACATAACCAAATATGAAATTCGATTTATGGATGGTTACTTCCAGTCCTCAATAAAACAACAAGCAGGGCTCCCCTCCCAAGAGTGCCTTAGAACCACAGCATTGTATTCTCCCAAATGAAGCAGAGCTATTCAACAATACAATCATCCCAACATATGCAACGCGTGTTCACCTTGAGTCTCTTCACTTGATGGCTGCCCAGATCAGACCATTGTAACTGTAAACTCAGTCTTTTCTTGGAAAAAAGCGCTTTTGATATTGTCGAATAAGTGCTTAACATAAAAAGAAGGCGTCAAGTAATCCTCCCTGTACCACCAAGTGCCAGTATGAACAAATGTCAAAAATCCGCCATGCACGATGACAGTGTCAATCCTATACACATTATACAGTATAGATTAGACTATTAGTACATTATAACTGTGCACATTATACAGTATAGATTAGACTATTATTACATTATAACTGTGCACATTATACAGTATAGATGAACTCTACACATTATACAATATAACTGTACATATTATATCGTACATATTAGACTATTAGTACATTATACTGTGCACAAGATTACAGCCAGACAGACACATTGAAAAACAGACAGACGGTCAAACAGACCGAGAATCATACTGCGGCCAAATAAGGCAAGAAAATTTTGCTAGGACCATCAAGGATTCTTGCATTTAGAGAATGCTCCACCATTGCCCTGAGCTTTGATCCTTGCTAAGCCCTAAACCCTATCATTCAGAAACACTGAATTTTGAAATTCAAGCGGCCACTCTGCAATCGAGAAAAACATAAGATTTTAAGAAGACAAAGCAGCGAGTATTGCACATCCACATAGAAAAAAGAAATACTGTACAATCTCTGTTAAGATATGAAATAGCGGATAAATTTTCTTCATCGTGCTCGTTTCCAGATCATGCTATCTAAGCAGGGTTGATGGTCTCCATTTCTTTAGTGTAGATTTACATACTCAAACCAACTTCTAAACTCTGTAACTCTCATCACTCTTCGTAGACATGTCCTGAAATCGCTGGAGAAGCATTTAGTGTTCACACCAACTCTCTCCGTGATTATTACAGCTTTACGCAAACGAAGCACAGCTACCTCGAACCATCACAGTAGCTTAAAACATGGCCTCAATAATACACAGCCTTCCCATCACAACCTCACTAAAATTCATCGACAGTCTTCGACAGTCTTCCCATCGTCTACTAAACAACAATCTTGTATCGAACTATTTCCTTAACAATCGAACCTCAACGACGTAAAACTTGCCGAATTTTTTGTCAACCCGAAACGATAAGTCTACGTTGCCCCATCATTTGCAGAAATTCACCATCCAAGTGAAACATACTCCAAACCCAAGGGATTCCTTCTGAAACTACAACATTGGTTACCAAGACTTCGTTCATGCACCAAATATGCTTTCGAAGAAAAATGCTCGCACAAACTTAGTCGGAGCAGCGTCCGCAAACCGATCCACATGCAATGCACGAAGGCCCAGCGATCAATTTTTCACAAGCAAGAAAAAAGATACACCTTTGCTGAATCCACCTTCCACTCCCAAGCCTCACCTCACGCTCCACTAGGCAGAATCATCCTCGTCTTCACATTGAGCAACCAAGATCAGGAAAGAGAACACGAACCAAAACACAATACCTTCCACCCTGCAGAACCTGAATTGGCTTCCTAGTAGAATTACAACCACCACCCACTTGCATCGTTTCTAACCTGGCCAGCACTCGTCGCACCACCCCAACCTCATTCACGTCCTACCCAGCAGTAGCAGCAGCAACAACAACAACAACTGCAGCAGCGCAAACATACCATGAAGTCCCAAAATTAAACCTCGATGGATATCCTTATAGAAATACGCTCAGCTGGACTAAAACTTTGATAAGCCCAAAGCATACACACTCTTCGCATGGCGGAATGAGCCATTCCAATTTGCAACTTTCCGACAAGAGTGGTCATGATGTGTAGGTCTCGACGAAAGCAGCAGTTGAGGGCGGCGAGACGCAACGGGCGAGGGAAGTGGTGAAGGTGAGGTGGAGGATTGATTGGCGAGCAAACAGGCAAGGAAAGGAAAGCAAAGCAAAGCAAAGGGGCCCATCCCCGACCCAGAACCCTCCCTTGAACCCGATTTTGTCCCGTCCGACTTGGCGGCTGCGTATTGGCCCACCTGCAAGGGACTGCCACGAGGCATGACGACAGGCTCTGCTAGCTGCCACAAAGGCCTCACTGGAATCCCAGGTGGACCCCCCATCCCTATTGCCGTGGCCCCTTCGCCATTCCTTGTTGGTTGCATGCTTGCTTGTGTCTGTAATGTCTCTTAACTGGAATTTTGTTCCTTTTTTTTTTTTCCCTTTCTCTTACGTTCTCTAGGCTTTTTTGTATTCTTCCTCTGTATCATCTCTATTTAAACTATTTAAATCTTTTATTTTTGGAAAGTGCTGAACAAAACCATGCAATTAGATTCAAGTGATTCAGATCCATACTTTAGCAGATGTCACAATAGGGTTTTGGACCATATGATCTTGAGGTGATGATATCGATGTGGGCTAAAATCTTCTTCAACGAAATTCAATGTATGGGATATCCTTGTTTCCATAAAAAGGGAAAAAAAGGAAAAACATTTAAAAATAAAAATAAAAACATAAACTTGGGTGAAATGTGTGTAGAAGTTGCTTTAAGAGGTGGTTATAGAGCATCAGCACCTTGCAAAAGGATTTATGACTATACAGTTGCATGGCATCACCAATTGTCTAGTCCTCTTGATCATGATTAAAAATGCATTCAAAGAATAGTACACAACCCATGCTTTCCCCATCTACCAAGAATCAATTTCTAGACTTGGCATTAAGGAAGAGAATTTTTTCAAATTATGCCCACTCAAATGAATAGTGTAAGATAGCCAAAATTTTGTCGACCATCCCCCATTTCCAACATATAGGTCTACTTCATTCCATTAATCCAGCGACTAGGTTTGACATTTTGTTGATCAGATATGTCATATTTGCATCATTCTACACTAGTTGTGCCTTGCGAGGGTCGGAAAAGTAATGGCAGATTTCTTCTAATGCAGGGTAAAAATGGGGTAACACTCTTCAAAAGAGAAAGGGCAAGGTGTAGCCCAACGTTAACAAGTCTGCAACCAGTGAAAGAACCCCCAACTGCATAGAGTTGATCATAACTTCCTGTTACTCCCCGTGGGACCCTATTCATCGTGTGTCAAGGGTAAGTTTGGCAACATTCCCATAAACCTTTCTCTGAGAGATCTCATGACGGACTGCATCAGTGTACTGTCGTCCTTTAGTACGCTTTGAAATATCTGTTGACAATATCGTTGCCGCATCTCCACTTCTTTCTTAGACAAAGCACGCAAGGTTGGAACAATGCGATGGATCTCGCTTGTCGGAAATTGCAAGAGGCAGCGCTGCCACTTAATTAAAGTCTCAAAAGGTTTGACATAATTGTCTGCGACCAGCACAGGGATCGCGCCGGCACTTAGCACCTCCAGCATTCGGTAGGAAGCAGGTGATCGACCCGCGGGAGCAAGACCAAACGTTGTGTTCATAAGCTCCATAAAATCGTAGCTGTCAAACACTGTTTGGTCTTCTGCACATCCTGCGCCGCGCCATGGTTGCCAAAATCGGAGCTTATTGTTTGTCCCGTGATTGCATGTTGTGACAACCACAACATCCTTTCCATCATGCATGCCTCGAAATTCAGATCCGCTACGAAACTTCCCCTCGCGCGACAAATACCTGGTCCCTTTAAAAGTCAAGAAGTACTTCCTCTCAAAGGGCTTCAACTCAGAAAGGCCTGTAATCACATTGACGTTCCTGCGGGGGAGAGGGATAGCAATGTCAAAACCCGGTCTGTAGGTTGTGTCATGGAGCTCCGTGCTAAGAATCGATGCCATCCCAATTGACCCAGGCGGCGGATTGGTCTGCGCCCATCGATCTGCAAAAGTGACGAACACATGGTTAAGCCCACCGTTCCAGTGAGGCAAGTTCCTGGGATCCGGTTTCCTCCAAGCTGCTTTATTAGCCTTAGAATCGGAGAAGTAAAAGAAGAGACAGGCTTCTTGAGGATCGTTAGTGTGCCATTTTGACGAGGGCAGGAGTTCAAAATATGTCGGGTTCTGCTTTGGCTCTGGATCATTGTAGGTGTACACAAGAATTTCATCACTGTGCTCACAACGCGAAAAATTAAAGCAGGCATCTATAGAGCACCGCGGAAACGCAACAGGATAATGCCACATTTTGTCCGAGTGCCATGGCTTGGGCTCCAAAATATCTCTGGATGTCGATAGAAAGATGAATCCGACGCAGCACATGAGAATGACCATCGCGAGCAAACGTCGCTCCAGCACCGTCGATCTCACCATCCCGCACATAGAGCCCACCGCAGTGCACTTCCTGTTCCACAACCGTGGACGGGGTGTAACCTTCCCCAAATTGTCTTCGTCGGACTTCTCCAGAAACCTCTCGCGAGCAACACATTGCTTAGGACCCATGAGAACCGCACATGTAACTAGATATGTTCGTTCAAGTTCGTGATCGTACTCGTTCCTGCAGCCACCAACTTGTCTCTCACGATCCCGAGAAAACGCTGTGCACCCTGAAGTCTGTTCTTTAACAGCAACTTCCCCAATAATTACTGATAGTCTTTCGTGCGAATCGATGAGCAGGAAGTACCCTGGCTAGTCATCTAACATTTTTTTAAATATTGAAAAAATAATTTAAAATCTAAAAAACAAAAAGTAAAAGCTACAAGAAAAAACTGACAAAAAATAATTTAAAATCTAAAAAACAGCAAAGCTATAGTCAACAGCTACCTGCAAAGACCACAGCAGTTGTCACTCGTAGAAGTACCGCCAAGCCCCGTCGAAGATATCAAAGCTGTATAGCCGGGTGCAGAGAGAACTAAAGAAACAAGGATGTGAAAATTCTAGAGAGAAGAGATAAAGTGGTGAGATAGATGAGTCAAGAACAGGACACGACATGCAAAAACAGGACGAGAAGTGCACCGTAGACTCAGGGCGGTATTATCATCACCAAGTCGAATCTAGAGAAGCTTAGGAAGGGATGCCGAGGTCATGCCTGCCAACGACAGACGACTTGGCAAAGGGGCGGAGGTGAATCTCACAATGCAACTCGTAGAGCGACATTGATGCACATCAATACCGCACCCTTAGAACAAGGGAACCCCACGGCCTGAGCACAAAAAGCACGGGAAAAAAGAAGCGCTTCGCACTCGGACAAAACTCATTCCGACTCCAGATGCAAGCTCTTTCCGAATTGGACATAAGCTAAACATTGTCCAGCGCTCACTTACGTTATTCCACGTCAAGAGCAGCTCAGAATAGTCTTAAAAAGGGGCAGTCCTCTGCTACAAAAGCTCTCGCGCTTTCGCCCTTTGTCGCAGACTGCGGAGGAGGAAGGCGCATTTCGGAGGCTCGATCCTGTTAAACAGCGACTGATAACTGAGAAAGGTTTCAGTGACACACACCGATTGTATTCGCAGAAAGAATGAGCTATATACAATTCACAGTGAAGGTGCACAGTGACGGCGCGGCCGAGTTCTAGATCAGTGAAGGTGTACAGTGAAGGTGCACAGTGAAGGTGCACAGTGACGGCGCGGCCGAGTTCTAGATCAGTGAAGGTGTACAGTGAAGGTGCACAGTGAAGGTGCACAGTGAAGGTGCAGCCGAGTTCTAGATTTAGATCTTGAATGCAGGAGCAAAGTATGCTTGCTTGAGTTATCTGAACTATGTTTCGAACTAGAGAAAGTCTATATGTGACAGGTTCATGTTCACGTGACGATCACCGGAACCAAACCAAATGTGTTTGTCTAATCTTAAAACTCCCCCTACTAACACAACGGTATTGTGTATATTTATTTTGAGTCCGTCTGCTCTAAACTACATAAACCTGAAGATTTTCGATGATGGTTGAAACAAGGAGTAGCAAGGGACGTCGTGAAGAAATCAGCAGTCATATCTCTGCATGGCAGGTATTTCACTTCAATCACCCCAAACGACTGTACATGCCGAGTTTAGTGAAAATGAACAGGTATATGCTTAGAATTTGAGTGAAAAACTGGATTGTAAACCAGTTTAATGGCACTCTGGTTACCGACGTAAAGCACAGTAGGTGGTTGAGCGAAACCTATTTCTGACAGAAGCCCGCGAAACTATACCATATACTTGGTTCCAGTTGAAAGAGCAATATATTCAGCAATATATTCAGCAATATATTCGTGCTGAAGAACGCACGACCACAGGTCGTTTCTTCGACAACCACGCTACAACTCCACCCACAAGAAGATAACACGATCTAGTAACTGATTTTGCGTTCTTGCTAGTACCCCAACTAGCATCTGTACAAGCTCTCAATACTAAGGATCAGTTGATGCAGCACTATACATGATTCCAAGATTCTTAGTACTACTCAAATACCATAGAATCCTTTTAGCTTTCAACCAGTGTTCTCTCATGTAAGAATGGTTGAGTTGAGCTAAATACACTGTGGCAAAACAAATACCACTATGAATGCACATAACTAAGTACATCAGTGCACTGACCAATTGAAGATATAGATTATCTTTCCTCATTTTCTCCCGACAGCTCCAGAACGCCACTTGTGAGAGAATCTGTACTCCTTTTCCTAACTTCCATTGGTGTAGGTAAGCTTTTACACTCCATCAACTTGAATTTCTCCAACAGCTATGTAATGTATTTGCTGTGAGAGATATCCTAAAAATCCATAATTTCAAGAAAGACTGAACTTCTCCAAGATCTTTCATTCTAAACCATGACGCCAAGTGCTTCTTGGTTGTGATGACACCCTCCAATGAATTGCCCATTATTAGCATGTCATCTATGTAAAGAATGAGAATAACAATTTTGCCAAGATTTTTAAGATTTTTCTTAATGTACATACTTACATTGTCGTATTACATGAAGTCATACTTGAAAATATACTAGGCACATGGCTGTGGAAGGTAGATGGGAAATTGCAACAATAAGATCCTAACAACTCTAATAGAATCCTAAAAAAAATTCCAATTAAACCTTAATAATGTTAATCAAGTTTTAATCAAATCTAAAAGAAATCTCAAAGAAATTACAAAAAAACATGAAGAAATCCTAAAGAACTTCTAAAAAAATCATAAAGAAATAATAAGTAGACTGCAAAGAAATCCTAAAGAAATATTAGAGAAACCTTAAACAAATTTTAAATAAATTCTAACCAAATCCTATGTTAGTTCTAATTGAAATCCTAATAGACCTTAATTAAATCTTAAGTCAAATCCTAACTAAATCCTAAACCAAATCCTAGACAAATCTTAAATCCTAAATCAAACCTTACGGCAGTTTAGAACTTCAATATCTATCGGTTATACCATTGATCTTGCTTAAGATTTTATATACCTCTCAAAAACTAAGTTGGTAATAAGCATACAGAATTTGAAGAAGATCAAACTTACCAAATAGAAGATCAATCATAAATTTCACTCAAGTATTGGTTGGTCTCTTATTTCAATCTAAATATTAAACTTCTAACACCAATATTTCCTTCTTGAACTATTGAATTACTCCCAAAATTTATTTAAACTATTGGAAATCAAATCTACTTTTTATACAAAAAAAATTCACTTCAATCCAATTGATAGATTGCTTAAGATCTTAAAAATACTCACTAATCTTCAAACTCTAATTTCTAAGACCTCAACCTACAAAAACCTTTACATACTTTGATTTAATTCTTTGATTGACTTCAAAATTTTCACACACATTTACAATTAGCACATCAATATTTTATCCAAAATTTACTTGTACATATACCACAAAACTCAAGACATCTCCAATTTTGTAAACATAACTTTATTTTTTAAAATCTAATCCAACCAAGAACATCACTAACTTTGAAAATTCTCCAAAAATTGAATATTAATTCAATTGACATAAAATCAATCCTCAAAAATCTCTTTGCCTATTTTCTCTCAAATTTCACTCTTTGATTTTTCCAAAAAAAAACTTTGGAGTCATTATAGATATACAATTTTATGCTTCAAGATTTGATTTTGACCTAGGTTGAGAACTAGTCATCTCTAAGTATCAATATTTGATAATTAGAAGTAATTTTTGCTGAAACCTATTAGTAATTTTCTTTCAAATATGTATATTTCAATTATTTATTTCATTTACTTTGATTTGAGGTATTTATGTCCCTACAAGCAAATAAAAGCTTCTTTTCTAAAATACAGCATTAAGACTAAATCTTTTATTATCTTCCTATCATTTATCCTTATTTTTCTATTACATCTTTCTATTAGGTTCTTCTATAATAACATCCATGTTTTTATTTTTTACCATATATTTGTATTATTATATAGCATCCACCTCCTTTAAACTTGTGCATCCTCTAGTATGCACCAAATAATTCAAACCTTATTTGTTTCATATTATGTTTTTCATACCTCCATTCAAATCTTCTTTATCATTTTTGCTATCCAAGTCAAATTCATCTTCTTGTTTTGGAAGATTTATGTCATGAACAAGATCTTTTATATTTATTTTTCATTTTTCTTTGTTTGAATATCTTCACTCACTTTCCTACAACTAGTATTTTTAATCTTATTCCATCTAGTTTTCTTAATAAATAAGTTGCATTATCATGTATAGTTGTTACCACATATGGTCAAAACCATCATTTAGAAAACTTCCTTAAAGAACTATGTTGATTGTCTAAGCAATTGTCACGGACATACTCATGTAAGCCAATAATTACATATATAAATAGGTAGAAATAAGTAAAAGTAGATAAAAGCAAGTTAATTCTATAGTATTTAATATGGAAGCTTCTTAGAAGCTTCATAGATATTGCTTTGACTTTATAGGTATCTTTAATTGACTTTTTGGATTAGAAACGTGGTCAACAAGTTGGCCATGTGCCATACATGTTGTTAGCTTGAAGACCAAGCTAATAATATGGCCCACACGTAGAAAAACTTGCCTTGTAAGTCAAGACATGTGTCTTACAAAGTCAACACATATTGGAGGTCTTATAGAACGTCGCCACATAGCCCCTAGTTAGATAGTATATATAGAGACAAGAGTGAAGCCTTCTTCACTCTTGTCAACTCCTTTTTTGTTTCCAGTCTAGTTTCAAGAGTCTTCATGTTTTCTAATCTTTGGCAATAGCCATTCCAATTTCTCTTTCAATATACATACTTGTTTATTTATATTTTGTTATAATTCTTTTAACAAAGGCTCACTTATCTGAATTACTTTTTCATTGAGTTCTTGTCCTTGACAGATTGACAAGAGTACACTTACAATATCAGAGCTTTGTCTTTTCTTGATTAAGAGTAGATTACCCCTTTTTCTTGATAAGACATAAGCGTATTAAGAACTACGGATTATCCTCTTTTAAACTGATATTATTTTTAGTATTTTTTTTGTTCTCAAGTCCGTTCTCTTACTTGTCTTGAGCAATATTAGAATTTTTTTTTTCTAGGTGTTACCATGGCAGAGCTTATTGAATTGAAGAGTGCAATGATACAAATGCAAGAACAACTGAGGCAATTAATGCTTGTGATGCATCAACTTAATTCACCAACAGAAAGAAGAACAAGAATAATAGAAAGTGGAGATGTAGAGATGGTCAGAGCTCCCTCAACATCTACATCAAATCACGTCCTTTCTCCCATGGTGGAACACCATTCAAATGTTAGAGAACCAAGAATTACCTTACCCGAGAAATTTGATGGTATGAGATCAAAGTTTCGAGGATTCATCAATCAAGTACAATTGACAATCAAACTTCAATCCCAAAGCTATTCAATTCCACGATCACAAGTCAAGTTTATTAGAACACTACTTTTCAGTTCTATATTATCATGGTTTTCATCTTTTCTTGAATGACAAGATCTAATATTGGATAATTTAGAAGCTTTCTTGATGGAATTTTGATCTATGTATGGAGAACATAATACAGTTCATGTTGCAACAAATAAGATCCATATCTTGCGACAAGAAAATCGATCTGTAAT